ATCCGATATTTTCGACAGTTATCGTAAAGCAACATTTTTTATCAGACATGTATTCCCGATTTCTTGGCTTTTTATTTTTTAATTTAAATATGATGCGAATTACGATTTAAATTTTTAGAGCGCATGTCCTTGTAAAAGAGGACGTTTTAAAAAAAAGTCAGGTAACAAAGTAACAAGGGCTAGCGGGCGTATATGAAAACACGAGGTACGCAGCGAATTGCCCCAATGGGAGACAGGTGTCAAACGGTTGTCACGCACTGCTGGCACCGCTTAAGCATGTCCTGTAGATTGTAATGTAGCCTGGAGAGTGTAGGTGGTAGCTTCCGCAGCATCCGCAACCTCCACACATTTTGCTCAGCGAGTTTAAAGTTCAAAATTCAAAAGGAAAAACGAAATAGTGGAAATAAATAAACCTATCACAATTCGATCGCAGGAAGATATAAAAAAGCTCAAGTAATAAAAAAAAAAATTTTGTTCCATAATTAGCAGAAACACTAACACCTATAATCATCATTTCTATGGATTGTGACCTTAAAGACATTACAGAAATTATAGACTGTCTAAATGTTCGAAACTTCATGGATTATGTATTAATAGAAAATATTAATTTGTTATGTTTTCACATCAATATTCGTTTCATGATTGAACACTTTTCAGAACTGCAAGAATGTCTTGTTACCTATAAAGAACATGATCGACGTGATAGTAGTTACTGATGTAATCATAAACGAACTAGACACCATTCTTCAAAAAATCAATAACCTGCACTTATTAACCTGATGTTTTCCTATTAGGAGATGTAAATATTAACTTGAAAATAAACTGCCCTGTAACACATGAATATAACACTACATTGTATAACCACGGTCTCATGTGCGGGATTACACCATATACTAGAATAGAAAGTATCAAGAACAAAGTGACAAAATCATGTATTGATGACATTTATGTGCGATCCCGCACTCAAGATGTGTATACAGCGGCACTCGGAACGAAATTGGCCGGCCACCGGGCGACGGTGCTCACTTGCATCGGCACGCCGCGTATACGTTCAAAACTTTAATATTAAATACAACCAAAATAAACTTTCAACACATATACAGGAAATAAACTTGGAACTCTTAAACTCTACACTATGACCAAATAAACTGTATTCAATGTTAATGAATAATAATATCAAGTCATGTTATGAAAAATCTAAAATAAAAATACAATATACGGATAACTTTAAAAATATAAAAAATAAATGGATAACGAAAAAAAATTTAAATGCTTGTGACTTTCGAGACAAAATATATTTACAGTGGTTAGAAGATATGACAAACAATATACTAAAATTAAAATATAACCGATCGAGAAATTATGCAAATAAGTTAATACTTGCTGCAAAAAATAAACAAATCAAAGACGATATTAATAACAATAAAAATAGCACGCGCAATCTATGGCGTATCTTGAACAAAATAACGGGGAGGGTTAAAAATTCAGTAGATGGTATAATTATAAACGCCTTTGAGAGTACTGTAAAGAAAATAAGCGAAATTACTAACAACTTTGCTATGTCTTTTCGAAATGCTGTCAGAAATATCATCCCAAGCTGCAACAGAAAAATTCTGGACCCGTCCAGCTACAGGAGCCTACCAATGTATCTATCAGATATCAAAAGGCGACAGCCCAATCTGTTAAAACAATTATTCACTCTCAACATTAATAAAGCACCTGGTATTGATCAAATAAGAACAGTTGACTTTAAAATGATGTCCGATTCAATTGCACCAAACTCTGTTATCTCTTTATATGGCTTTGGGAGAATCCATAATTTCTTATGGCCTTAGTAGCTATGGTAGGTCATGTAAAACTAAGCTTAATTTAATTTATCAACTTCAATTACGTATAATAAAGATAATAGTTCCATACAAAGTTAAGTTAATAGATATATGTGATTATCACGATCTCTTCGAATATTGCAAAATCTTACCGATTCATGATAAAATTAAATACACCTTACTTCTAGAACAATTTTTTAATAAAAACTTTAACCAATCAATTACTAATAATATCTCGTTATAATAATATATACGGTAAAAATCGACTGAGTTATCAGATACCTAAAATAATTAATTCACTACCACCAGAAATAAAAATTACCCTTACAACTAACAGCATAAAAACAAATCTTAAATCATATTTATTAAATAAACTCTGAACGTCCTGTATACGTGAGTGACTGTTTTTATTGTAACACCACTCCGAGGGTATTTATCTGTTTCGCTATAATTTATTATTTTCGTTCACAGGTCTTTTACTCGAGTAGTGGTTGTTTTTATGGTAGTGGGTAAGCGTACGTAAGCAAACGGGTTAGCCAGTTTTACGAGCTCACTTCAATGAATCGCGGTCTATGGATAAACATCAGGTTTTTGTTGTACCGCTAAGTTTTAATTTATAAGTTTTCTTTTTGTAAAAATTTTTTTTTTAATAAAATAATAAATAAAAATCCGGTTTTATACAAAATATTTTAAAGTTTTTTTTGTGATTTTTTAAATGTCTATCGCACAAGAGATTTTTGGTAACTGGTAAACAGGTCGAAATTTTAAAGAGGAGACGTGCTTGCCTCCGCGATAGAGTAGGTCTGACGACTGAACAAAACAAAATGAGAATGGCCAGGCAAAAGAATTAAAGAACGATTCAAAATTTCAAAACAAGTGGCCAGGAAGGAAGAGAAAAGGTGATAATAAGGTGGGATGATGATGGAAGGAGATCACATCATCACAGGTGTGACTAGTATTAATCGACAAACCAATCTTTTTGCTTACATCCAGATAGAGTAATCAGATATCGTACGTGTTGTCAAGTGGGTTGTATTAATTGTAGAACTATAAATATCGTGTAACGTTGAGTTAATACCTATAAAAATGTCCCCCTATCATGAACACTAGATAAAATACAACGCCCAGTATTTCAATCAGACGAATGATAGTTTTCACGAAATGCACTTTAAATGTAATGAAATAAAGTTACATTATGAATTGTAGAATTATCATCTTTGACCCAGAAAACTTTTTCCATAATTCTTTATCACCCGTTGCCTCATTTTTTCTCCTTCATATAATTTAATCTTTTACACAATTCTTACTTATCTTCTTTAATTTTTCTGTCTTTGAAGCCATCCATATGTATATTCAACATCTTTCAAGTAATATTTCTCTACATTACACTGTAGAATGGTTATTTAAACAGTGGACTGACAGATTAAAGCTAAAACTGATAGAACAAAATTTTGTTTTATTCAAATAAATACTCACACAACTGGGTTCCAGAATAATCAACGAGTGAACTTTCGAGTTCCTTGAAAATTTAGCGGCAATAGTGCAGCCACCCGATCCTCCTCCGAGCACTAATAATTTGCACCTGGAAAAACAAATATTATTAAAGTACTGTTGAGCGGGTATATTTAATAAAAAACGAAAGTCGATTAATCTTAAAATTAACGTTTATTAACTTGAAAATATTGGCTATTTTATACAGCGATTAGGCTTTTTGACACTCTGTATAATGTACAATTCCATTTCCGTATATACAAATTAAAATATGCACATAAAGTGGAATGCATACGGAAAACTTTGTTGAGCAAAATGTTTTATTTATTATTAAGCTGAGTTACAAATACGTTTTCGGCGTGCTTAGCACCTCCTCCTCCAGATCTTTCCAGTGCGCTCTACCAAGAGTTACTTTCTCCAACGCGGGCCTGCAATAGTTAGCTTCAGCTTATCCTCCCATCTTTGATGTTGACGCCCTCTGTTACGTTTTCTCGTGGGTACCAATTGGTGTCTACTTTGTTGCATTTTTCCGGCCCACGCAACAGATCTATCCATCCACTTTGCATGATCTACGTTGAAAACAAATCGATTACCATGCTTCGTCTTCTAATACTGTTACTCCTGACTTTTTGAATTTTCCTCAGGCCGAGCATGCTGCGCTCCATTGCTCGTTCACCCACTTGGAAGTTTGCTTCTGTGTACTTTATTTATTAGTGACCCTGTTTCGCAACTAATAGGTCGGGCATGGAAGAATGCATAGGTTGAAAGTCTTTCTTTTCACAGTCATGGATAAGTCTTTGCTTTTCATTATCTCCTTTAGAGTCAGTATTTCTTCCAGCCGCTTCCCAGTCTATTCTCAATTTCTTTATACACTTGATCATTAGGAGAGATGATACAACCAAGGTAATGTATATTGCTCCATATTTTCTAGAGGTGTCCCATCTATACTTATTTTGATCTTTGACTTGGTTTTAGTCATTACATTAGTCTTACTAGTATTAATCGACAAACCAATCTTTTTGCTTTCCGTGTTTAGAGAGTGAAGCATCATTTCTAGCTTTTCGAGTGATTCTTCGAAGATCACCAAATCGTCGGCGAATCTCAAGTGGTTCGCTTTTATTGCAATCGATTTTCAGGCCATATCCTCCTCCATTGCAATTTCCTGACTATATTTTCGAGTACTGCTGAAAACAGTTTGGTCGAGATAGGATCAACCTGCCTGATGCCTCGATTGGAAACTCTTATCCTAAAGATTCTAATTTTACTCTAGCTTTACTAATGTTGCATGTTTTTTATTATGTTAATATAATATTGGTCGTTTATCCCTTGACTTTTCAAACTGTACCAAATGAAATCATGGCTAAGACTGTCAAAATCTTTAGAGTAGGTAGTCTACGAAGCCAATAAACACCGATTTGGTACATTCACGGTATTTTTCGAAAATCTGCATCACAATGTGGATGTGGTCTATGGTGGAATATTAGATATTGCAGTGTTGAATGCCTATGCTTTAAGAGATAGTACTGGGTAATGAGGTGCAGTGGAGTTTCATCTGTTTTGTGACTGAATCTACCTCCATCAGAGCTCTAATCAGCGTTCTGATGCCATTTCTGCCCAATACTCTACAGTATTTATCACTGTAGGCAATAATCAGGGCCTTTGGAGTGTTTGAAACCATTTATCTGCAGCCAGTGTCTCAAGAGACATGTGTGCTATGGTCCATAAAAATAGATACAAGACAATTGTCTGTTGCTTAAATATTTAAAAAGCATGCTTGTATCACTGGTTAAGAAAGGACAACTATATTTTTAATATCTCTCGGCAATGTTCATAATTGCGTATGCACCTGAATACAAATTTCCATATTTAGTAATAATTTGAATAATCATTGGAATGCATATTTTATTGTTATTCTGTCTTAATTTCCATGTGAACTATATAGAGCTGTAGAACTATTTCCCTTTCAATATTAACATTTATTCCTTAACAATACTTCGACAATGGAAAGAAAAAGGGACCATATGGACTTAAATCATTGAAGGCAGCGATTTTTTCGCGTCTAATGAGCCAGGTTTGACGGCGATCTGAGCTGAGATCTGAGATTTTTTTGGTCTGTTAGACGTTTTGCAAAAGGTTTTTAAAAGTAGAGAGCCAAAATAGACCAGAATTTTTCTACATTTCATTAGGTAGTTTTGTTTTACCTAAACTTCGAGGAACATTGACAGAAAATGGAGACTGCCTTAAAACAATATTTCCTGTTTGGGATTCGAGAAATCACTTAAGTAATTGGGGACAGGCAGGTACACTGTATTTATCTTAACTTTGCGACACAGTGTGTCGGATCAGCGATATTGCGGACATTGGATTTTTTCACGATATCTCTCTAGAAAAATGAAAATCGAGAGATCCTATAGTCCTAATATAATTAAACTATAATCAAATATCGTCATATCACATTTTGCCACAAATTTAATAGTTTAGTAGGCAAAAAATAAAATATGTATCTTTTGTATGGGACCATACCTGTCGTGCCCCATCGTTACAAAGTCTTAGTCGATCCGGTCTTGGAATCACTATAGACGTATTATTAGACCTATCTTCTATAGATTTGCACCAAACGCGCGCCCAAACCTGCCTATTTTCTGACGCGTATAAGTAGTGAGTAGGCAGATTTGGTAACCGTCCTCCCGATTGCAATTATTAGAATGTTTTTCGATTTCAATCGCTTCACGTACAACTCTTTAATAAAAGTGACGATCGGTGGAGAGAACCTGCGTACGATGAAACTCAATCCAGTGATTTGTACCCCTTTCCAGAAAATGTTCTGCAATTTGCAGATTTTTTACATTTTACGGTTTCAAATTATCTGCAGCTTGGAATCCGGTGTATGCAAAAACTCAATATTCGCGATCGACTGCGTACCAGAATACGGATGTAATACAGAATAGGGACACCGCTAGTGTTGTGTGTGGCGGTAGTTTAAAAAATGTTATACGGGTGGATGAAGATTCTACCGCCGAGATGGCGATGTAAACACCGCCGCATCACCAGTCAGCTCGTGATCATGGCCAATGCAAGTTGGCCGAAACGTCGAGAAACTAGGTAGGTGTGAAAAATACCTATTCGTTTGCAAACGCGTTTATTCCCGTTTCCAAATGTTACTAGTAAAAAGATGTTGTGAACTTGTGATCAAGAAGGAAAGATTAAAGTCGATGTTATTGTGCTTTCAAGTATAATTTCCTAATTAATAAATTAAACAAAACACAAGTCACAACCAAACAGGTTGTGTTCATGAATCTGTTTGCTTTATTTTTTGGGATAAATGATTGGGATAATTGCGATAAAATGCGCCATTTCTTTGCATCACAAACCTAACAAGCGTGCTTTATTCAGCGGACTCGTCGAGCTGTACTGATGCTGTAGTCGAGGTATTGCGTTTGGGTATGGAGTACATATCATACTTTGATACCCAATAGATTCCAAGTTCGTCCATGGTTTAGTGCTGACTGTAAGCATGCTGAAGCATAAATACGGCCCGCGTACCAAGCTTGGGAAGATATGTACGACTGTGCAAAATCTCGAGTACTCGGAATCTGAAGAAAGCTTTTAATAAGCAAAAACGTGATACGCAGGGCCAAGTTCGACCACGTGTGTCATACATACCATAGGAGCCAAGCTTGCCTGTTTTCTAGCAGGTAGCCAGTATTTTTGGTAGGGACCAGGGGGCCAAAGCGGTCAAAACAAACTTGTCGCCTTTCTTTACCACTTCTGCCGAGGCCGGGTGGCTCGCTTGCTTATTGTGGAAGAGAAGGAGAATCTTTTTGCCTCACTCTTTGTAGACAATTCGCGTGTGGATGTTGCAGGGAAACTACTACTGAAACGCGTGTCGGCGCTGGTGGTTCCGGTTGGAATGTTCGGTAGGTTTAATGTGGCCAGGAGAGTGTAATAGTAGCCTCCGCAACCTCCATAGACTTTGTTTAGTAACTTCAAAGTTCAAAATTCAAAAGAATAAAGATATAGTGGTAATATATCTAGTTTTACAAATATTATATTCCCGTTTTATCAATATGTGTGATCTTTAAAATGTTTATTGCACAATAGATTTTTGGTAACTGGTAAACGGTTCGAAAAATTAACGACAAGACGTGCTCGCTGCCGCGATCGGGCAGAGAGTGACGATGGAACGTAACAAAATCAGAATGCGAGGCAAAAGAACTATGGCACAATTCAAAATTTAAATTTAAATACGATTGGCCAGGAACCGGAGAAAGGCGATAAAAAGGTGGGAGGACGATGTAAAGAGGTCACACCGTCACACTACTAATCTTACCTCAGACATAGCATGTATCAATCCTTCGAGATTTGGTGGAGGGGAGCGGAAGTGCCCCCACAGCGGCAGCTGACTTGGCCACATATGATGCGGAACCTGTAGCACAGGCTGAGGGCATTGAGGAGGAAGAGTTCTTTGACGCCACCGAACAAAACTCCACCGAACTAGATACAGAGCCTCCACAGGAGGCTTGCCCGACTAGAGCCGCGAAAACGAGTTTTAGACTTATTCCTAGGGTTAAGCGTTCGTCCAGGGAAGTGCTGCTACCTTACTTATTTCTGCCGTCAAGCAGTTATGTTAGCAATATTGCGTTCCGGTTTGGAAGGGTAAGGGAGTTGGTGAAATTACAGGCACATGGGACTTGTCAACTTTATGTCTCAGGGTGACGGGCGCAGTGGCAGTGCCCCTCACATCTTTGCGATTTAAAGCTCTGAGTGGCACTGCAACTGTTATGGACAGGCGTGTAGCTTACCATCAGGCACACGACTTGTTCATCCCGTCATTTGATATTATAAAAAAAATATGTGGGCGTTTAACTAGACCCCTATCCAACTACGTTTACATATACGACAGTGGCGACGATCTACCCGCGCTTAGGAAAAGCATTGGTCAATTTGGGTTATTATCCAATTTTGATCACAATATACAATCGTGACAGGTGTGAGAGATTGTATAAGCCTCTTACATATTGGGCGAGGCTCATAGAACAGCAAGGCGAAGCCCTTGCAATGTCTTCGGATCTTAAATCCGGAAAAATAGTTTAATTTCCTATATCTTTGGACTTTTCTAGAGTTTGGCCTTTCGCTGGGCAGGCCACCTTGGATTCAGTTGAAAAGTATGCCAGGAAGCTTATAGGTGACTCAGACTTAGTAGAAGTAGAGCCAACACTAGAGCCTTGAACATAGCTGTAAAGTTGCCTGCTTATCAGTATTTTGCAGGATACATCACGGAGAGTATGCGATGGCAATGCACAATTTAATTCCGCCTTTCCCTTTTCATCACCGGGGGACCTACGTTGTATATTCTATACATGTGGATATGGATTCGATCAGTCTTCAAGCGATTTATAAGTTCTCATATATTTTGCGATGTCATTTTTCTTTGTGTTGACTATCTGTTCTTTTGTATTTTCTTTATTTCAAATAAGTATATGTTATTTTGACATACCACTTCTTATTGAGTATCGAATTAATTAAACAGAACGTAAAGGCCGGGTATGGGGCATTGTTATTGAACAGGAATGGCATCAGAATGCTTACTAGAGCCTTAATAGGACACTGTGGCTTGAACAAGCACATGTCAAATATTGGGCAGAGAGAGAATAGAGTAGATTCTGCCACGAGGAGGACATTAAATCTGTCGGAGTCAGGAAAGTCTTCCAGTTCTTCAATGCAATTCGGCAAACTTATAAAATCTAAAATCTAAAGACAAGGTAGCCAAAGCTTTGTTCTTTTCAGAAATTGCTGTGAACACTACAGAATCATTAAATTGCTCCCCTTCTCTTGCTATAGATCTCCTAAAGGAAAATGTTAACATTTGTGGCAGTTTATTTAATTTCCGTCATGTTAATCCCCAAGACATCATACAAGCTTTTAAATCAATACATGTTAAAAAACTGAAGATCTCTGGGGCATATCAACTAAAGTTATAGACTCAGTTATTGATCTAATTTCCCCAATATGTGCGTTGACGACGGTGCTTTTCCCGATTTAATGAAATACAGCAAGGTTATTATTCCCTTATTCAAAAGTGGTAGGAAAGTTGATCTTAGCAACTATAGGCCCATTTACCAGCTTATATTCGAAAAGGTTATGCTGACTCGATTACTGTCCCATTTCGGTAGGAATAATACTTTTCACAGTGAACAATACGGGTTTACTAGTGGTAGATCAACTAGCGATGCGGGAGTAGCGTTACTAAAACACATCTTTGATGCTTGGGAAAGGTCCCAGAACGCTATTGGTGTTTTCTGTGACCTCTTTAAGGCATTTGATTTCGTTGACCATATTACTCTTATTAGGAAGCTGGAACATTACGGTGTAAATGGCAAGGCGTCGGAACTTGTCTCGTGATATCTCAACGGTAGAATTCAGAAAGTAGACATAAATGGAGTGACTTCTTTGGGTTCTCCGGTAAAAACAGGTGTTCCGCTGGGCTCAATATTTGGTCCTTTCTTATTTATGATTTATATTAATGATCTGCCATTCTTTGTAAAGGACCATTGCGAAATAGTATTGTTTGCTGATGACACATCCTTGATTTTTAAAACAGACAGACATGACAATAACTATGACCATATTAATGATACCTTCTCTAAGGTAGTTTATTGGTTTAATGCTACAATTTATTGCTTAGTGCCAGGAAGACAAAATGTGTTAAATTTGAATTACCTAACGTAAAATCGTCTAGTCCAAACATAGAAATAAACGGAGAAAAGTTAGACCTTAGTAGTCTTCTTGGGAGGGACCTTAGATAGTAAACTTCAATGGTTTCCCCGTATATCTTCCTTGGTCAGCAGATTAAGCTCCACTGCATACACAGTTCGCAGAATACGTGAGCTTACCGATGTTAGTACTGCTAGACTAGTTTACTTTAGTTACTTCCATAGTATAACGTCCTACGGGATTCTCTTGTGGGGTAAAGCGGCAGATATTCAAACCATATTTGTATTGCAAAAACGAGCGATTCGTTCTGTGTACCGTCTAGGCTCTCGGGTTTCTCTCAGAGATAAGTTTAAGGAGACTGGTATCACAGCAATTTACTCAAATATTTTATACGTAATTAAAATATACATAATTTCAATAAGAAAGAAGATATCCATAATATTAAGCTTAGAGCTAAGTACATGAGTAAAGTCATGGTACCACGATTTCGTTTAACCAAGGTAAACAACTCTTGTATGGGGAACTTTATACTTTTTTACAATAAGATTCCGGAGCATATATTAAGTTTATCATTTCCTACGATTAAAAACTACATTAAAATATTTTGATCGAAAAAGTCATATTACAAAATTGCAGACTATGTGTTAGATAAAGATGTATGGAAAGACGACATGGCTCCAGAATCCACACTTTGATTAAAAATTTGAAAAGTGTAATCCCTAGAGTTTCTTGCTCGTTCTTCTCAGGGAGGTTAGCGTAGTCAACGAGTGTTAAATGTGACGTTTTCAAGTGAAATTTATTTTACCTATGGAATAAAGGAACTTTGACTTTGAATGCTGTCGGCCTTGGCTCCGAACTGTAATTAATGGTGATCACAATAGATCGGCTGATGGTCGCAGTGATTAGACATATGCCCCGAATGAAGCCACCCTTAATAACATATTATATAGCTAGTATCTAAGTCTTTATGCTAACCAATGATAATGCCCTAAAAATTGTGTTATATGCCTTTTGTTTTGCTTTGAATCTGCGTTATCCCACTAACTAAAATAAAATGTATGTTAGTTCCTTATCTGTAATGTGTTTGTGTAAAAATATGTATGTTAGTTGATTTTCCAGGTTTATGAGAAAACCCAATTGTCTAATGTGGCGTTTATTTTGAGTATTAAAAAATTCTTTTCACCAAATGCTTTTGACAATATGTGTCAAAACATTTGGTAGTCCTCATCAACACATATAACTTTCTAGTAGTCAACTTTTCCATATATAAGAAATAATATTAAAGTTATGATTTTTTTCTTAAAAAACTTTAAATTGCTCTTCTGCAAAATTGCAAAAATGCATGTTGGCCCTTTTGCCTTTCCAGGGTAGACTTATACCAAGCAAGTAAACACAAATATAGCCGAAATAAAGCGGTGTAGCTACCCTCTATAAACTGGCAAGTTGATTGAGTGTACCAGGTCTATACCCAGTGCAATGGGTGACTAATAGAAATCGGACAACAGCCGATAAGATTGACTGAGGTATTAAAAAATAAAGAATATCTTCTAGTTTTTACAACTCGTTCAACCTCAATTTTGCCACAGAATTTTGGAGTAGTATTTTTTTATAATACCAAGTGAAGGGACAAACTAGTTGTGCCTGGTGGCAATTGACACCTCTGTTCATAGCAGTTGCCGTGCCACACTCAAGCTCTAAACCACGAAAATCGGAGAGACACTGCCACTGTGCCTGTCACCTTGTACCTTTCAAAACCTCATGCAGTAATGCTCACATTACAAAAATAGCCAAGGCGGTACTACTTCCCTGGGTGAACTCTTCCACAAGCTCTATTATTACTAAAACTGTATTGGTGTTTCATAATGCAACTCCTAAAGTTAAAGTGCACTTAACCATTTTTTTTGTTAATGTAGAGTCAACAGCACATCAAGCATTTAGCAGCAGTAGAACTTCTTGCGAAAAAGTTTGCCCAGGGTAGTATTGCCATTGTACCTATTTCTGCTGCCAAGCAGAAATGTCAGCATTACTGTGTTCCGGTTTTGAAGGGTAAGGGTGTTGGTGAAATTACAGGCACATGAGACTTGTCAACTTATGTCTCCAACCCCTCAGATCTGCAATTTAAAGCTCGGGAGTAGCACTGAAACTGTTATGGACACGCGTGTAGCTCACCATCAGGTGCTCAACTTATTCATCCCATCACTTAATGTTATAAAAAAAAGCTACACACTTTTATTCCAATGTCATCTCCAGTGTAATGGAAGATCTGTCAATGTGTAGCTTGATGTGCAGCCATCTGTACAAGTGCCACTCCGGTTTACACTATTATCATAGGAATATGTGTCATAGATTGTTAATAATTGCATAATTGCGGAAAATACTAACTGATAATTAAGAGCTTAATTTACTGCCAACTATATAAGGTTTATTAATTTGAAACAACCTTTTCTTTCTTATCAGATTACTTAAACTAACAAGCTCTAAGACTGATTTTTAAATAATCTGATTTTTATGACTTTTTGAAATAATTGAAACTTACCGATAGTAATTATTGATAAGTTTCATTTATTTAAAAAGAATCTATAGAATTCATATTTTAGTATTACGCATATTATAAATATATAGTACTTACGAATAAGTTTTATTATTAGTCTTAGAAACGGAGAAACTTCTAATGCCGATTGTCGCAAAGTTTTTGAAACCCAGCTGGTATAACACATTATTCATTTTGTAAAAAGTTTTTAGCACTCTGGTGTTTGGGTGGAACAACAGCGAACGTTATAATGATATGAAGTACGAGGCTATACTGAATCTTAACACCTATAGTCAATAAACTGATAATTTCTTATTCGTCGTGTGATGTAACGATTTATCGCGAATGACCTCATGTCATAACTATCTAAATGAAAAAAAAAATATTATAAACTGTAATAAAAGAAACCCGAAACACAGTTTGATGAATAGGTCTTGACACTGACAATTTACTGATAATGACAAGCACAGGTGACAACTTAGATTTTTTTACATTAGTGTTATGGCATCGGAATAAATAAAGGAAGCCAAATTTTCAATAACGGACATAGTTAAGCAAAAAGGGTCCAATTCATAAAATTATCAAAAAAGAATATATGAACCAAACTATTCCTAAAGTCTAACCTCTTAGGGTCGTATTCCAGAACTCTGCTCAATGCTCAAGTCAGGATTTGAGCAGACTTGAGTATGATTTCAAGCACTGGAAATACGACCCTAATGGCAAGGACATGAGTATGATTTCTAGTGCTTTAAATCATGCTCAGATCCTGACTTGAGCATTGGGTAAAGTTCTGGAATACGACCCTAAGACTAGCAAAAAAGTCCAACAAATATATCTGGAATTACACGACAAGTTTTGAAAATTACAGCTTCCGTGGTCGAGTGGCTTGCACACCTGTTTCCATGGTGTCGACATCTCTGAGGTCGTGGGTTCGATCCTAGGCCGGGTCAGTGTTGAAAACTAATTTTTCTATATTGTCTCGGGGTCTGGGCGTTTGTGGTACCGTCGTTGTATCCGATTTCCATAACACAAGTGCTTTAGCTACTTACTTTGGGATCAGAGCAACGTATGTGATGTTGTCTAATAAATAAGTTTTACAAATGAAACAAGAGTAAGAAACACTTTTAAACTTCAAACTACCACATTTCGAAAGTGACTGGATGTGCAGTGGATCCTTTTTGTTTAACTACGTCAATTTATTAAAGATTTATTTTTTCACAATTTCTGTGATAATTATGAAGGTATTTTCCCGAATGATTATAACAATGGTGGCAATTATACAGCTATATATTGTATAGCTTCATAGCTGCCTTTTTTTTCTTTCCGGGGGAAAATCCGTCATGAATACCACCGCGTCACGGGGAGGCGCGGTGGTTATGTGAGACTCCTACTCACTAAAAACCCCCGGGTATTCCCACACTCCGCATGAGACGGGGCTGTGGCCACGTGGTTTACGATCCACGGCCCCGCCTGCGGTTGTCCGCGACTGCGGACCCACCTCTGGGAGACTTTCTCCACTCCGTCGTTAGTGGCATGTCGGGAATACTTGGCATGCCAACCAACCCGTGAACCCTTGCCCAGTGAGTCACAAAGCCCCCGAGCTTCATAGCTGCCTGCACTAAGTTGACAACCCAAGAAGGCAAGAACTTCAATTATAACATGTAGGTGAACCATTAAGGATGGACTGTGTACACAACACCTTCCATATTACAACATTATAATAATATTATCTGTGGTACAATTCCATACAGACACTTTTTTCATAGAATATAATAAAAAATATAATAAATCGTAGGTTGAGCTTCAGCTTCAGCGAAACCTGAGTGTTTACATACCGCTAATAGACCATGAGTCTGCAGAGTTGTTATCAAACGGACGAACGGATCGTAATTCCAACGTCTTCTATGTAGTTATAAATAAAAGTCTAAAATGTTATAGCAGATTATTTTTTATAATAACTGATAAAAATATCTAATACACTTCAACACGACATTACCGATCGATTTACAATGTATAGACTACCGACTATACTCACATTATACACAAAAAGACGTATTTGTTATAATATCCAAAGGGGTGAAAAGCTCAAGTAATAACTTTTCTAAATAACATTTTCAAATTTAATAAAAACGAAATTAAATTTAACAAAACAAGAGTAAGGACACTTGGACTTGAAATTCCGCAGATGGTGCAAGTAGTCACTAAACATTAACACGATTTACTAAATACGAGAACCTGGAAGTAAATCCATAGCATGTGATTTCTCTGTAATTTGTTTTTAAACGCTCTGTAGCTTCTTCTGTTTCTTGTTCGTATATAAGAAAAATCTTCACTAGCGTTTTTTCCCCAACCCTAAGCTGCAGGTAAGGTCGCAGTGAAATCGCTTGCCTATTCTGAAAATCACAAAAATATATTTGTATGTTCAGTATCAGGTTATGTTTAACCGGATGCTGTGTTCAGATTTTTTTAAATTACACTAATCGTCTAATTAACCTCGTTGCATAGTACGCATAATAAGTACACAACTGTGTACACAATCCACAAATTCGTATAATCTCGCAGTGCACTCGAGTTGCAAAGCGCGTTCGAACGCGCCATTCTTTACAGAATTGAAACGTTCGCCCAATGTTTAAAATATTTTTTCTGTGTCAAATTGGTACGTACTAGTTTCTAAGCATACTACTTTTTTATTATTTATAAATGTATTTTCATTTTTTTATTTTGTTTTATATAATCTTGATAGTTTAGTAGCAGTAGAGCTAATTGTGAAAGAGTTCGTCCATGGAAGTACTGCCACCTTACCTACTTGCCGCTAAGCAGTAATGTAAGTATTACTGCGTTCCGGTTTAGAAGGGTAAGGGTGCTGATGAAATTATAGGCACATGGCTCTTGTCAACTTATAGCTTATGTCTCAGGGCGACGCGCGCAGTGGCAGTGCCCATAAGATCTTTGCGATTAAAGCTCTGAGTGGCACTGCAACTGTTATGGACAGGTATGTCGTTTACCACCAGGCGTACAACTTGTTCGTCTCATCACTTGGTATTACAAAAATAAAAAAGTAAACCGCGACGCAAGTATAAAAATAGTATTTTCACTTCTCATGCTCTTAAAATTCGCATTTATGCTGGGTGTAGGCTGCATAAAATAGGTTTTTCTGCTCTAGTGCATAAAATAGGATTTTATGCTCTAGTGTATACAATAAAAAAACCATCACATTAAATAGGTCTAATTGTTGTAATTTTACATTACATTTTAATTTAATAATCGTTTATTTGTAATATTGTTGTTTAATAGGAAGTTACACACTCGAAGTGAAAAGCAATCGAATTATTTTCACTTGGATGAAAAGCAGAGTGTATAACTCGTTCATAAAACTCATTTTACCTTCGACTTAATTTTTTTTAATTTTATTTATTTATATCAGGTAACAAAAAGACCCATGTATACCTACATACCTTATAGACTAACATACATAAGAATATAAAAACAAAATACACCTATATTATACCATATACCTTAAAACTAACATACATACAATATAATAATAAAAAACTAATCTACACGATTTCACTTATCGGCGAACGTGCGGCGCAATCTGGTGTCAGGTAACCGGCCGCGGAATCGCCGATATATGACACCCTTCGGCCAAAATTCCTCTTTCATGAAGGTCGAAAGATGTTCGGTCGGTATTCTCACCATAAACGAATTAAAGTTCACGTTGCGGCGAGACTCCAACCGCTCGACTCTCAGGGTGTAATTTGCTTTATGCCTGATATACTCCACTATCTCCTCAGACTTCGTGGAGTAATGCAGCCGCGACAGGTACATCAACGTCGTCGGTACGGCCGGACGCAGCAGGAAGTTCGGTCCTGTCGGTGCTGTGCCACACTGGTTACGTCTGGTGGGCTTTCTCTTCCTCTTCACCACCTTTGTGAAGCCATCCTCGTCGCACTGGACCGTCTGCCTCTTTGGTTTTGCAACTTCAGAGACAGGCACACGGAGATTGGTTTTATCTTTAGCCGATTGCCGCCGCTCGAATTTCGAAGTGGCGGGTCGGCTAGTTGAAGCGGCTACAGCGGCGTATGCACGTGTCGGGGTTGACGTGCACACGCGTGACATTTCCACCGAGGCAGAAGGGCGGGCAGAGGGGCGCGGCGCATCATGCGCGGTGGCAGCAACGAATGGTGACGCATTATGTGCCGACTCGAAACTGCTGACCGAAGCATTCAGCGCTGCTCCGCGTCGTGTGTTTACATTAGAGGCTTCTGGTGACCTACATACCGAAACAGCATTGCTTAATAACGCAACTTGGGTACGCAGCTCACTTATGATGTTATCCGAAGCCTCTAATTTACACTGTACTTCAGCTAGGCTACACTTCAGGGACGTAATGTCCTTCAGCAGCTTAGTAATATCGACGTGGTCGAACGTGACGGGGGCAGCTTGTGCAGCTCCTTCGCCACGAATGTAGCCACGTCGTCCGGGTCAGTCTCCTTTAGCAGCGTGATTATATCTTGGAGACTCTTCACGCCTCCATCCCTCCGGCGAGATGGCATCTTGCCACTGCAAATCTCATCTTCACTGAAATTTGATTTGCATATCTGCACTATGCTGACTTCATCCATGGTATCGATAGCGTGTATAATGAATGCCAGGAGCTCATTGGCAATGAGTTGCTGGGAACTCATTGTCAATTACGCGCAGCGGCTTGTGCCGCGCGAAACGCGAGTTAGGTGTCATTAACTCACTGCGTAGTGGTACGTCCGTTTCCGAACGCGCCTTGTTATGGACTTAAGTATCCATCGTCTAAAAGAAAGAAAAAGAAGAAGAAAGAAAATACATTTATTTGTTTACCACAATGACACCACAAAAGACAAAAGACTTCTCGGGTAAAATGACGCGTTTTATGTACTTGTTGTACAATCTACTATTTTTTATAAATACCAAGTGACAACGTGTGGCACGTGTAGGCATTGACGCGCTAAACAGGCGGGAGTTGGATTTCTTATATGGACTTTATAAAAATAAACTGAAACACTATAAGAGACACCCGGTGATTGTAGAGTTCATACCTACCTATACCTTAAATGTTATATACCTTAAATGTTATATAATTACCTTGTTCCTACCACATCAGAGTCGTTGCTGAAACAAAAGACAATCGTAAATAAAGTTCCTTTAATATCCGCCTGGAACAAAAAAGTACGTGGATGAACGCTGTGCATTAAAAATAATAATATTTGAATACATTACGTGTGACCATAACCGTTAATAATTTAAACCTTAGAATATTTTTCATAAGATTAATCTTGTGTAGTATTTAAATACTTCTCAAACGTCAGATGTAGACAAAAGACACAGTTTGGTGTGCGGAGTAAAAAAATACCCTTTTCACTTCTCATGCTCTTAAAGTTTTTATTTATGCTGGGAGTAGGCTGCATAAAATAGGATTTTATGCTCTAGTGCATAAAATAAAAACCAATCACATTAAATATGTCTCATTCAATTTTAATTAAATAATAGTTTGTTTGTAATATTGCTGTTTAATTTCCTCGCAATCGAAGTGAAAAGCAGAGTGTATAACTCGTTCATAAAATCCATTTTATCCTCGACTTAAGTATACTCGTCTCTACTAGTTGTACAATCTACTATTTTCACCTCACTAGCTCGGAAAGACTCCATCTCAGTAGAAATCTGCGCGCAAAAGCGTTTCTTGCACGCTAGCGTGGAAAAGGTTTTTGAAATTCGAACTTGACGATGGGCTGTGATCACAGACATATTTAGACTGTGATGCACCTAATTTTCTCTTTCGATAAGAAAAAAAGATCCTTTAACTACACGATTTGTCGTACATTACGTATACGTTTAATTCGTCGAAGAACTAAAATGACTTCAATAATCACTTAATCAGACAAAATAAAAGTACAAGCAAGAATGAAAATTGACAAGTTTTCAATTCAGAACGCATTCGAAGATAACTTTTTCTTTTATTATAAAAACTGCGAGGATTCGCTCTGGACCTTTTGGAGGGAAAAGTTTCGTTTTTATTTTGACTTTCAATTATTTTGGGAAATCTAGTTTAAAGTGGAATAGGATAGTGCTATTGTGCCTTAATAGAAGATTAAAACACGAAATTATACGAATCTCGAACTAGAATACCCGTACCGGCCCGTTTTAAGGATCCCGAGTCAATCCAAGCACGCCGCCTCAAATTGCCTATCCTCTATGTGGCGCCCATATTTACAGAAACATATTTAAACTTCATGTTTAGGCTGATGGCTTTGCCAAAGCATTAATAAATTAAAAAAAATAAAATAAATAAAAACTGCGACTGTGAACTGGCAACCGGTACTGTATCAAGTTTCAAAAGATTTCACTTTTTAATACCATTTTATACTATTTCATACTCCGCAGCGTCGCAAGAAATCCCATCGTTTTTAATAGCATGTGTAATAAAAATTTTAAAAACTACGTATTTTTATTTGATAAAGCAGATGCTTTGTAAATGACGCAAACAAGTGTTTTTCTTCAACCTGTAAAGTTGTCAAAATTGAGATAGTACCGGTTGCCTGTTCACAGCCGTGATGTTCAACTGTTTTTCTTTCATCTACCATTTTCCTCGCTATAGTGAGGTGAAAAGTTGTGTGTTTCGCTAGGCAGCAAAGTTTTTTTGCGTCTCGTGACTTGAAACCCTCGCTACGCTCCTTGCATAGTAAATAAGTATTATCTTAATGTATATCTTTTTTACGTACTAGTTACAACTGTTACTTAACTTGTAACTTGTCACTACACTTACAAAGGAACAATTTTATAGCTTTAGCCTTTTTGGACCTGTTTTACACATTGTTAGTTGAACCATAGCTAGGTGATTTTAACTAGAAACTAAGATATAACGTAATTTAATGATAAATTGTCAAAATAGGACACAAATAATTATACAATTCAATTAGAGCAGTAGAGCTCATTGTGAAAGAGTTCGTTAAGGAAAGTACTGCCGCCGAGTAGTAATGACGTAACCATTACTGCGTTCCGGTTTTGAAGGGTAAGGGTGCTTGTGAAATTACAGGCTGCATTAGGTACATGGGACTTGCCAACTTATGTTTCAGGGTGACGGGCGCAGTGGCAGTGCCCCTCTGATCTTTGCGTTTTAAAGCTCTGAGTGGCACTCGAAACTGTTATGGACAGGCGTGTAGCTTACCATCAGGCGCACGACTTGTTCGTCCCGTCACTAGACATTATAAAGAAGAAGGTTTAAAATTTATTATTAATAAAAATATGAACGAAAAAGATACTTTGCGTTTCGAAACCAAACGAAAGCGGCACGCATATTTAACGTCTCTTACGCTCTGTTGCTTGAACATAAATATTAGACAACATCACACATCACAGACCACAAACACCCATACCTGACACAGTATACGGAGATCGAACCAAGGATCTCAGAGATCGGAGAGGCGACATCATGAAAACCGATGCAATGTGCAAGCGAGATCGATCCATTAATCGTCTGATCTAACCACAGGCAAGAGAGATATAGGTATGCAGAATGATATAGAAAAAAACAGTACCCGTTATCAGTAGATTGTCCCGTTGTACCTTCTTTCCCTTTTTCACCCTTCTTCTTTTTATCTTTAGTTTTCTTTTTTGCCTGTTCACCATCAACTTTTTCCATTCTGTATGCAAGAAACATTTTTTTAATTATAATTAAAATAAAGAGTAAGTACTCTAGTAATACCGTTATTTTATTCATTTTGATGCCGTCTATCATTACATAGTGTGGAAAGCTACTTGTACCTACATACCGTTGTCTTAGAGTGAATACCTCGTATGTGATTTCTACGTAATTTTTCAGGGCGAAGATAAAAATTGGCGTAAAATGTAGTAAACGCAATAATGTTTGTAGTTTAATATACATAATATAATATAGTCCCTAGGTGAAGTACATATTATTTTGTCTATTTGTTACATCCTGTATAGTTAATGTTTATACACTCCAATGCAGTGTGTTGATTTGCATTCTCGCCATATTTAAGAAATGAATAATAGAAATGATGCTAAATCATTTAAAAAATAAAAAAATGACTGCAAGAGTCTCGCAGACTCAGTCTGTTCTTGCCTAAGTCTTGCAGGGTCGGTCTTGGTCTTGATCTTGCTAGAATTAGGTGGTTTTGGTCTTGGTTTTGGTCTTGCAAAAATGCAAAACTCATGACAAAAATGTAAGACTGCAATTTTTTGTTAACAAACTTTTTTTTGTCCGAAATAACGTTTGTTAGAGTTTTCATTACATCGAAAACCGAATTATAACCAAACAGTTGTTCTTTCAGGATATATTGAATGTTTATCGCAAAGACACGATTAGGCTCAGTTAGGTTAGGTTAAGTTGCCTCCGTCGAGGGCCTCCGCCCGGCTCCTGGGTGGAGGTGGGAGGAAGGAGGGTCGGGGTGAGCCCTCATATAAAGTATCTTGGGCTCACCCTGGACAGCCGGTGGAACTTCAAAGAGCACTTACACCGGCTGTCGCCGCGACTCGTGTCCGCCGCGGCGGCGCTTGGGCGCCTTATGCCAAACGTGGGGGGACCCAGCTCCCTATGTCGTCGGCTTTATGCTGGCGTCATACGGAGCATGGCCCTCTACGGGGCGCCCATCTGGGCGGAGGCCCTCACCACCAGACTGCGGCTGCTTCTGCGCAGACCGCAGAAGCTAATGGCGGTGAGGGCGATTCGGGCGTACCGGACGGTTTCCGGAGCGGCGGCATGCGCCCTGGCTGGATCCGCACCCTGGGAGCTCGAGGCGTCCGTCCTCGAGCAGACCTACAGGTGCCGTGCGGAAGCCAGGGCACGTGGAGAGCGCCCCACACTAGAGGAGCTAGTGGGGGTTCGGCGTGCCGCCAAGACCGCCGTCCAGGCGGGGTGGGAGGAGGCACTCCGATCGGCCAGATACGGGGAGCGCACCGTCCAGGCGCTGCTCCCTGTACTGGCCGATTGGAGAAAGAGGAGGCACGGGTCCCTCACCTACCGTCTTGTTCAGGTACTTACCGGACACGGCTGTTTCGGTGACTACCTGCACAAGATCGCACGGAGGGAGGTGACCCCGGAGTGTCACGAGTGCGGCGCTGCTACAGACTCGGCGAGGCACACCTTGGAGGTGTGCCCGACCTGGAGCTAGCAGCGCCGGGATCTCGTAGAGGTGGTGGGACGAGACCTCTCACTGCCCAGCATAGTTAGAGCCATGCTGGGAAGCGAGAGGTCATGGCAGGCGATGGTCTCCTTCTGCGAGGACGTGATGTCGCAGAAGGAGACAGCCGAACGGGTCCGCGAAGACAGCGCCCTCTCGGACCCCATTCGGCGTCGGCGGAGAGGACGCACGCGACGGCTCTTCGCCGACCGCCTGCGTCCCATCAGCGGAGGCCAGCAGGGTGCGGGGTTGGGAGACCCTGCCCCTGCATTGCACAGGCCTCCGCCGCCGGTAGATGCCCCAAATGTTCCGGGGCATCTCCGTGCAGGTCGCCCCCCATGATTAAGGGGGCGATGGTGTAGGGGTCCGCCCAAAGGCGGACCAGCACCACCGGAGTCGCGGTAGCATCTGAAAGGGACCCCGCGGCTCCGGCGCCAGGTGCGCGCAGGAACATCGTGAGGTTTTTAGTGGGTATGCTCTTGGGGATCGACATAGTCCCCAGGAGAGAGTCCCACATATCCCCGCCGTCTCCCAGCGGCGGGGAATGCGTAACGCATTTTCCTCACGACAATAAAAAAAAAGAAAAAAAAAAAAGGTTAGGTTAAGTTAGGTCGTCCTGCCTCCTCCCAAGAGGGTAGGGCGACTTCCACGTGTTCCAGGAAGCCGCCCCCAGGTGCACCAGTGGCAAGGGCCACTTGAGAGGGTTCGTGCGCCAAACAAAGGCCGCGAACGTCCGCTCTTTGGGGGTCGTGGGTAATGGGTAACCGGTACCATAACCCCCACTAAGCGGCTGGTTGCAACACCCTGGAGTTTTAGTGGGTAGGCTTCCTTTCTGGAAGGTGCGGAGTACCCCAGGGGTCGGCATCTTGCTCCCCGAATAGTGGGCGCCGCATCGGCGTTGGGCAGGCTCCTGCCCAACTTCGAGAGGCCGGGAGCCCCGTGCAGGAGGCTATACGCCGTGACCCGGAGTATGGCCTTATATGGGGCCCCCATTTGTAGTGGGACCTTATCAGCGGCGACGAAGTCGCTGCTGAGGAGGCCCCAGAGGGTGGTCGCCCTGCGAATGTACAGGGCGTACATGACGGTGGCCTGCGCTGCCGCATGCGTCCTCGCCGGTACTCCACCGTGGGACCTTGAAGCCGAGGTCCTGGCGGAGGTCCGCATCTGCCAGCGGGGAATGAGGGACCGAGGCGAGCGACCCGCTCCCCAAGAGGTCGAGCGGGAGCGCGCATGCGGGACCGGTGGAAAGAGGGCTTGGCGGATCCTCCCTATGGCGCTCGTACCATAGGGCGATCCGCCCTGTCTTCGTAGAGTAAGTAAACCGGTCCCACGGGCCACTGTCGTACCACCTTGTGCAGGTGCTGACTGGGCACGGGTGTTTCTGTCACTACCTGCACAAGGTGGCGAGGAGGGAACCGTCTCCGTCGTGCCACGAGTGCGGCGCTGCGGATGACACCGCGCAGCACACCCTAGAGGTGTGCAGCCGGTGGGATGGGCAGCGCCGCACTCTGACAGGGACTGTAGGGCAGGACCTCTCGCTGCCGAGCGTGGTTGCCGCCATGCTCGGTAGCGAGGAGTCCTGGGAGGCGGTGGCCTCCTTTTGCGCAGAGGTTATGTCGCAAAAGGAGGCCGCAGAGCCGAAAGCCGAAGCGGGTGCGCGTCTGTCGCGTCCTCGCGCACCCGCTTCGGCGCAGACGTACGGGGAGATGGCGAAGGCAGTTCGCTGTTCGCCTGATCCTCTAGTGAGGCCAGCGGGCTCTGGACAGGGACTCCGGAGCCTGCATTGCATGGCCTCACTCGTCTGTGGGCGGGTCGGAGGACAACCGACTCGCCCCTCCGTTGGCGCGGGAGCCCTGGCGCAAGCTAGGGCGGCCGGGCGGCGTCGTGGTGAATGTTCACCGATCCCACGGCGTCGACTCAACCGGCGAGAGGGAAACCCGGGGTTTTAGTGAGGTAGGCCCTCCAGTCTGGAGGGAGAGTACACATAACCCCTGAGTCTCCCTGGGCTCAGGGGTATCCATAAAGATTTCCCCCGTCAAAAAAAAAGGTCGTCCTGTCCTCCGCGACGCTGGCGGGGCTGCACCGCTTTCAATGATGCAGCGGGGCCGCGGGGAAAGAGACGTGTCATTGCCGCTCGTCCTATCCTCCGCGGCCAAACGTGGGCGGTTGGCCCGTGGTGGGCGCTCCAAGGGACTCTCTTCGGAGAGTCCGCGCGGAAGCGCGTTAGGTGTTGCGGCGGAGCCTGCCATCAGATCCGCCGCGGGGGCTGGGGGAGCAGCCACTGAACTTCTCAATTGAGTGGATGCTGTCCTGGCCCCCCATGGCCCCTGGGTAGCGGACTCGGGGGAGTTCGTTGCCCAGCATAAAGGGGCCCGGGATGGAAGGCTCGTCTGGTGTTCGGCGAGTCTCACATTCGGAGTCGGGGGACCGATGTGACTACCTTCTCGGGGAGGGGCTGCGCAGGGCGCGGCCAGCCGCTGGTGGCGGCGCGGACGAGTGCAACAGCGTACCCGCACCCCCACCTACACTCCGGGGGTTTAGTGCGGTCGGGCTGCTCCCCTTCAGGGTTCAGCCCAGTCCCACATAACCCCGGCTCTGCCCCCGCGGGGCCTTAACAAAAAAAAAGGTTTAAAAGAAAAAACTGTTTAAAAAAAAGATTAAAAAAAAAAAATTGTTTTCATTAACTGGGCTATTTAGGTTACCGTTACAAAAACTAGAACCTTATTCTTAGATTGTACTTATATTATTAAAATAATAAGAAATACAATAAATCTTAATTATAATAATAAAAATGTGATGTTTATAACATTCAGATTCAGAGTGATATGCGTCAATTTAATTTATTTTTTAAGTTATGTCATTGAGTTTAATTGTGTCAATCGCGCGATACCAGAAATGCGACAGATTTGTAAGGAATCGGTGATCAGTCGCTGCGAATTGTGTGTTCGGGATGATAGCCCTAACCGCTATCATGCTAAAAATGGCACAAAGGGTTGTACTTTAAAAATGGATATTAAATGTTAATTCGTAATTAATTAATTCGAAATAAATGCAGTTGATAAAAAAATTAATGGTTTGGGTTGCTACCGTGTTGATCAGGTCTTTTTTAAATAAAAAAAAGGTTAAGCGTTAGCTGTCAGTTTCCTATAAAAACCCTAAACATTAGAATAAATCCCAGCGCGGCTTTACGGAGATTTTTTTGTATTACCATTGAGACAACACTAATGTTTTCGCTATTAAATAAACAAAAATAAAGGAAATGGCGGGCTTTTGAAGTTACAAGTACAGTTTGGACAAAGTTTATTTCAAGTATATTATGAAGAAGATACGAAGAAAGAAATGGTGATGAAGAAAGTCAGAACTATATAGTCCTTATTTTAAACCAAACTAAAAAGATTTTATTTTAAAAATTCCACTAATTACGAATCCAAAGTTTATGTTCAAAGTGACAATGACGTGATTTAAGTGAAAGTAAAAACATAAATATTTATTATTTTAAAAGACTATTTAGAAAGCCCAAACAAGAGAAATAAAATATTTAGATAAAGTGAAAACATAATGTCGTAGAACCACAATGGAAAATATTTAATGAGTATTTCGGTAATTAAACGAAGACATGGCTCAAAGGACTTGTATCCAAGCCCAAACTTTTAATAAAAAAATAAAAATAAACAAATTTTTATTTTTCAGTGAAGGCGCGCTAGGTGAGAATCTGCGCAGCTCTTACAAAAAAGAATAATTTCAATACTACACCTGAACACCTTTTATTGTTGCTGCCGTCAGTGTCTAATCTACATACTTCTACAAGCCAAGTAGCATCACTTTATTGACTCACAATACTAAATGACACATATTTATTAAAGGTAATACTTGCTTTGCTAACGGGCTGTAAGAGAAGAAACTAGTGTTAATTTGACAAATATGCACCTATAAGAGTATATGCTACGGGTATAGAGCATTCAAAGGGGGCACCCTAAAAGGTAGGTACAGTCAAGAGCACGTCAAAATTGACTTAAGACTTATATGCAACTCTATGCCGCTTAAGATAAGAACAGTCCAAATTACAAAGTGTCAAGCTTTGTGCTCTTGACTGTATGACAATGTTATAATGTTATTCTTTCTTTTTATTTTATTGGATTTTTTGGCTTTTCGCGGAAAGCATTTGAGCCATTACGAAAATTGTACACTTTAATTATTGGCAGCATGAGATATGGTCCCCAGCTAGTGTAAAGGCAGTGTGTTAGATGTAAACTTTCTCAGACCCAGTGTTGCCAGATTCTACCGATTTATCAGTAGATCTACTATTTTAAGCAAACGTCAAATGTTCTACTGATAATTAACGAAAATCTACTGTTTTTAGATATTTGCTCTTTGTTGACAGAACAAATGTTACTACAGACGGTACGGTCGTACTTCCTACAGGTAATAAATGTAGGTAATATGTAGTATGTACGTGCCAGATAGCTGCATCACTCGCCTGGTTACAAACTATGGAATTCCCTGTGCAGAGAACCCACTAAAGTTATGAAATTAACTTCGGGGATCGACTCAAAACATCGAAACCAGGAAATGGTATCTTTCCGCAGTGGGGATTTTGAGAAAATAAGAGGACACTCTTGGGCATTTCGGTTCTGTAATGCGGCTGATCAACGCGACACTGATTTACGATGTTATCATGTTACGTGTCGCTTTTTATTTCCAAATTATCCCACTATAGCCACCAAATAAGAGGTCAAATTGGAAACTTGTCATCGCGACGTGAATTTAAGTGATCACAACGACAACCGTGTACTTGTTGTTATAGTGTAGTTACACTAGCACAATGCATTAGTTCACAAGGACAACCTGTACTATATAGCAAAATTCTGAAGTAAAACAAAAGGCTTCATTATTTAAATTTTTATTCACTATTATCGTCAGTTGAACTAGTATCACCAGTATACAATAATGAAGTAATTCGTTTTCAATTATATTTGTCAATATTTACAAATCTTTCTTTATTAATTTTCTCGTTATTCGAGTGCCGCTGTAAGATAAGATAAGATAAATTTATTTCAATATAACTTAATCTAATACAATATAAGTAAAACAAATGTAAATAAAGGTAAAGGTAATAAAAGAAAAGGTAAATGTAAAAAAATAGTATTCAAATTAGAATTGATAAGGAAATCTAAATTATATATTCTTCATAGTAAAGTTATATACATTTAATATTAGCATCTAATGTGTAATTGCGATGCCTAATCTAAGTAAATGTACACCTGTATTTTAGGCATCTTTTTGGGCAAATTTCTTTATATTACAGCTTAAAAATAGATTTTCTATATTTAACAATAAAATAATTAGTGGTTATAAATTAATGGTTACCTGTATAAAATAACAAATTGTAATTATGAAACAACTTTCAGCAAGTCATCTGTTTCATTGTAAGTCTTATTCTTAAGCCACAATATGACGGTTCTTTTCATTCATGGCGAAATAATGCAAATTAGAATTTAATATATTTAGAAAGTCATATATTTAGTTTTGCTAGTATTCAGTGTAAGGGCATTTTCTCTGAGCCACTTGTTTACTGAGTTAAAGCCAACCAGAAATAGGATTGATCCTAATATGCTTCCTTGAGGAACACCATATTCGATCAGTAATTCGTCACTCGTTATTTCATCAATCGTTACGCGCTGTTTTCTGTCAGAGAGATAGTCCTGTAAAAGTTTGATCTACATTCCTCTAATTCCAAGTACTTCTAACTTATTTTAAAGTATTGGTATGTTTACAGTGTCAAAGGCTTTTGCGAGGTCAATGAAGATAGATAGAAACATTTATTCTTCGAGTCCAAATTTCTTACAATGTAATCAGTCAGTTCATCAACTGCGTCGTTCGTCGATGGCCCTGTTCTGAACCCATATTGTGACGTCGATAGAAGTTTCTAAATAATTAACCAGTCTTTTGTAGATTATTCTTTCAAATTGCTTAGAAAGAGATGGCAATATTGCAATTGGACGGTAATTGTTAATATTGCTCTTATCGCGGCTTTTGTGAATAGGTTTTATAAGTAGTCTATTTTCTAGTAGGTCTATTTTCGGTACTTTAGGAAATGTTTCTGTTAATAAACAGCGATTCAAAATGTTGGTAAGGGGTGGAAACAATTTTTATGTTGTTTAATGCAAGGGCAGGGAATTTTGTCATTTCTTGTCGCAGAGTCATTTCTTAAAGTCATAATAATGTTTTTAATTTCAGTTTCGTTTGTGGTGATCAAGACAAATGAGTGCAATTGTGAGGCGTGTAACGAGGTCATGGTTACTGCTGAAAGTTGGACGTTGATTTTTGCCTTTTCAGCTATAAGTTTTCCTACAATAGTGAATAATGAATTTGCTGAGTTAACAGTTTGAATTGCATGTTCTGTGTTTACTATTAGTTGCTGGGCCGATGATTTGGAGTAGTCATGTTCGTAATGTTTTTGATGACTTTCCACAATCTCTTTTTATCGTGACCTGCATTCATTATTTGTGTTTTTTCGTACTGACGTTTTAATTTCTTTAATAGATTCTTACACACACACATTCGTGTGTTAGTTGTTCCACCTCCACGTGTGCGAAGTCTTTGAGCAGTCTGTGGTAACATGTTATCACAGAACGCCCAAGGACGTAGCCGGTACACCCTGGGGCCAACACTGACAATCCTCGACTTCAGTCTGAGAATTGTCAGTGAGGGCGCGAAGCGATCAACACGGCCCGGCCATGCGTTTCTGGGGGTGGACCATGGCTCGTGGTGGGCAGTCTAAATTTACACCCTCCTGCGTTAATGCCTACGCAGTTGAGCGCCGTACGCAGGGATGAAGGATTCCTGGGGGATTGAGCCCGAGCGGGGCCTTTGGCCCTGATTTTCTGCTAAACGGTAGCCCAGTGATTAGCCAACACTACGGCATTGTGTCCCGTCAGGGCAGGCGGAGGCGAGGTGTGGGGGGGGGACTCGGCCATGCTGACGGGGTGAGTATGTGCAAAACACCTGGCTGACTTTGATCAGGTCAGCCAGCCGCACATTTCGAGCCCCCGATGTCGCGCAGTGAGCTCCCAACTCCTGCACCTATACTCTCCTGACAATCCTGGTGTCCCGAATGGGACATCCCCAAAGGTGCGGGCTCCGTTATGGGTGGGAAGTCAGAATGAATTCTAGGAACATATAACATGGATTTGAACGATCATCTTTTAAATACCAACACCCAAAACCCAAAACCGGCGGTACTGGAGGGGAAACCCAAAAGTGCCCCACAAGCAAATACAAACACACAGCGCCCTCAGGTGAGTGGTAGGCCAAAGGGGAAACCCAAAGGTCAGCCGAGCACCGATGCTGGTGCTAGCACCACACCAGTGGTTGTGGCCCAAACCCCAAGTTCTGCGGCCCCCGCTCAAAACCCATCAAACGCGGCCCTTGAAGCAGGGGACCTTGGTGAGTCGTCAGCCCAAATCCAAGGCCACGGCACCCATCCGCAAGGAAAGGACTAGTGGCCACGGCGAGCGCCCACCTCCGGCCCCCAGTGGGAGCAAGGGACGCCCTGCCCGCAAAAACAAGAAAGGCCGTCGTAGAGAACGCGAGCGACGCACTTCACACAACCCCCTGCCGAAGGAGGGAGAGGCGAGGTCCCCAGTGGGTGGCGCGAGTGGCCCGGGGACTGCATCAGCACGGTCAAATGGGTCGGTCGCGCACCCCACTGGAAGGGCCACCCCCCTTCTAACAGCAAACCGGTAGAGAGCAGGCAGAGGTCCTCGACCATTCCAGTGGCTAGAGGATGCTATTAGCACCATCAGGCTGCCATCCGGGGAGCCCCTCTCATTGAAAAATGGGGTGGAGGCTCCCCGGAGGGTGGTCTGTGGACTACTCATCCCTGGTCACTGGGAGGATGCGCGTCGAATCGGCCGCATCCTCAAGTGGCAAAAACCGTGGGCAGAGGCACACCGCTGGGTTGTTTACAGGCTGCAGCAGCATAGTGGCAACTCCTTCGTAGTGGTGAGCCTCCCAGAAGAGCTCGTCCCCGCTGTCCTGGGGCATGGCCGGCGCCTAACCTTCCAGTTGGGCACGGCCTACCTCAGGTTCAAATCAAAGAGGGGCCTGTACACCGATGTGCCACCCGAGAAGACGGGCACAACAACGACGCGGATGGACGTCTCCCCGGAGCCTTCCACCTCTTCCAATATTCCCGGAGAAGGTGAAGGGCCCTCCTCGACCCCCGTCTCTGCGGACGCCGCTCTCAAACCGGTGGCGACCAGCAGTGACGACGAGTGCGTGTTGGGGATGGGAGACATCCGACTGAGCGAGGACGTGGACGAGGAGCTGCTATCATCTGATGGCGGTTTCCCCCTCGCTCAGTAAACTTCACATCGTCCAGAGCAACCTCCACCACAGCCAGGCCGCAACGGTTCAGCTCCGGAAATGGTTGGAGGCCAACAACACAGCCATGGCACTAATCCAGGAACCGTGGATTAGTGCTCGTGGCCAAATAAATGGACTCTCACATCTGAGAGGTAAGCTACTATCGACTACCATCTCAGATAAACCTAGAACTTGCATATATTACTCCAATAACTTACATGTACAGCCACTAACTGAATTCTGTTCCAGAGACCTGTGTGCCGTAAAGCTTTTAGCAGACGCGGCCACGGGTCTGCCTGAAGTGGTGCTCGCCTCTGTCTATATGGCGGAGACTGATGTGCCACCACCGCAGGAAATGGTTCAGCTAATCAACTACTGCGAGCAGAACGGCCAGAATATCATCGTGGCTACTGACTCCAATGCCCACCATCCGTTGTGGGGCATGGAACTCGCAAATGATAGAGGTAAGAACCTAACAGAATACTTATTCACAACTAACCTTCAAATCCTTAATAAAGGTATAGTACCAACTTTTATAAATAAAAGATGTAGAACTCTTATAGACCTAACCCTAGCGTCAGAAGGAGCAGTGGACCTTATCCACAAATGGCACGTGTCCAAAGAAGCATCCTTCTCGGACCACAGTTGGATAAGATTCAGCTTAGAAACAGCCATTAAAGAACAACAACCGAAACGGAATCCCAGAAAAACCGACCGTAAACTATACACGGACAAACTACACCAGAACCTGGGAGAACCGGGAGCACCGGGAAGACTACTGGGCACAGCACAGATAGAAACACAGGTTAAAGAACTAACATCAAACATATTGAACAGCTATAATAATAATAATAATAATAATAATAATAATAATAATAATAATAATAATAATTCATTTATTGCATGTCACATACATAGCTAATTTAAGATGTTAAATTTGGCGTTGGGCAGATAACATGTGACGCCCTGCAAGGGCATGGCAACTGCAGAAAACCGAGTTCATACTTATAATTACAGAATACGTCGTTTATACTATTACAATAGCTACATTATTAATTTTTACAATGTCATTCTTTACTTTACTAGTCTTGTTACTTTATTGAATTAAACTTATACATTTAATAGTTACTAATTAATTAATTATAATAAAATTAATCATCTTATCGAGTCGTCAGAGATAAAAAGAGAAAATGAAATAATAATAATAATCTTTTAAACAGTAATAAATGAAATATATATTGATTATGAATTCTTATTCTAATTATTAATTAAGTTACCTAAAGGTCAAATCATTTAATCATTTAATCTGGTTGTCAAAAAATTCTTTTAAATTATAATAAGGTTTATTGATGAGGAATGTTTTCAATGCCTTACAAAATTGTGTCAATCTTTCCAGGTTTTTTATACTATTTGGTATGTGGTTGTAAATTCTGATCAACATATTTGGGGGGCCAGAGGCAACTAATTCCATCCTGGGAAAGGGTACTCTAAGTTTATTTAGGTTTCGGTCGTGTCTCTTATTATTATTATAGGGGTGAGAAGAGTTGAGGGTGCTTTCTGACGAATTTACATGACTCGAGAATATAGATGGAGGTAAGTGTCAGTATTTGGTTCTTGACGAAGTGAGGTCGACAGGATACCATTTGGTCAATATTACTTATTATTCTTACACACTTCTTTTGCAGTAAGAACACTTTACCTACATCACTAGAGTTCCCCCACAAAATGACACCGTACGATAGTACGGAATATGCATATGCATAGTAAGAAGCAAGGGCGGTCCTAAAGTCCGTAACACGTTTGAGATGCTGGAGAGCATAGACAAAAGAGTTTAATTTATTTAATACCTTCTGAATATGCTGCTTCCAGTTCAAATGCGTGTCCAGAATAACTCCCAACATTGGAGCAGTGTTCACAGATTCTAATTCGGTATTATCGTAGTTATATGATATTTGCAATGCTGTTCTCTGATGAGGTCTGAATTCAATAATTTTTGTTTTATTTAGGTTTAGTTCCAAATTATGGTATTCAAGCCAGTTTACAATTTTGCCTAGTGTTACGCTTAATTTTGTTTCTAAATCTCTACTGTTGCAACATGGGATTAGGACGGAGATGTCGTCAGCAAAAAGTATACACTGATCATCCAGTATATTTGGAAGATTATTTATATAAATAAGGAACAAAATGCATCCCAAAACGCTACCCTGTGGAATAGAGCCAGTAACAAGAACCCTATCAGATCTAGTCAGAGTGATCCTGCCGGTCTCGAGATTGGTATTTTCTATTTCTACATATTGGAAGCGGTTGTGTAGGTATGATTTGAACCAGTTGTGGGCTATTCCTCTAATTCCAGTTTGGTACAGCTTATGTAATAGGATCTCGTAACAAACTCTTTCGTAAGCTTTACTCATATCGAGTAAGAGCCCGACTGCAAATTTTTTGTTGTTTAGTTCTTGTAATATATTTGTTACAAATTTATAAGTTGCTAAAGTAGTCGAGTGAAACTTTCGAAATCCATGTTGGCTCTCATGAAAAATCTTAAATTTTTCAAAAAAAGAATTCAAACGTTTTATCATAGCCGATTCGAATATTTTGGCTGAGGTTGGTAATAGGGCAATAGGGCGGTAATTAACAATATCGGTAGTGTCTCCCTTTTTATGGACAGGTTTTATTACTGATATTTTAAGGGCATCGGGGAAAATACCCTCGGAGAAAGATTGATTTACTAATATAGTGTAGGGAACTGTTAATAGATCAGCGCATTTTTTTACCAAAATGGGGGGTAGTTCGTCGATGCCAAAAGAAGTTTTATTTTTAAGGTTTTTTATTATTTTATTGATTTCTACAGGTTCCACGGGGCTCAGAAAAAAAGTATTTTGAATTATATTTGTTGGACATGTTCTCATTGAATTGTAAGAGTCAAAGTGTGAATTGCCGATAGATGAAAAAAACCTGTTGAACATGTTTGCAACTAGTTTAGGGTCACTTATATATTTGTCTTTTGTTTTAAGTTGTAGGTTTTTAATAGTTTTTATTTTTTTATTTGTCTCGTTATTTATTATCTGCCACATAGATTTGCTCTTATTTTGTGCAGTTACAAATCTACGTTTGTTACAAATTTTTTTTGAGATATTAACGTATTTTTTTAATATTTTACAGTATTGTTTGTAATGAGATTTTAAATTAGAATTATTAGTTTTAGATACCAACAAGTTTAGGAATCTTTTATAGCGGCATGAGGTTTTTATTCCCACTGTTAAATATACTTTTTTTGTCTTTGATTTTATTTTAATTAGGACTTTCGGTATACATTCATTTAAGGCTTTTTGTAAGGCTTCGTTAAATAGGTTATAATTTTCATTTGCGTTTATATTTTGTTTGAGAACGTCGTTCCAATTGATGTTGGAGATTGCG